TGAACCGAAATCAAAACCAAAGAGCAAAAAAACAAAAAAACAAAACAAAGAAAGATTTTTTTTTTTTGGTTCTCTCTTGTTTTTGTAATCAAATTTGCAGATTTCTATAGATGAAGCAAAAAAAGGGCACATGGGCAGTTGAGAAATTCTTCATCCCAAATAAATTTGTCACAAAAACAGAGAAATAAAGGGCTTATATAATAAATTAATATTCTGAAGCCACAGAACAGAAATTATTGAAGTCCACAGTCTAGGCTGTATAGCACACTGTCAAAGTCGCTGTATAACAGAAATGAAAGGAAAAAATAATATACTTAATTAATGCTTTTTTTTTCCTTACTATTTTATTTTATTGCAGGAGAGGGCAATTAATAGCGCAAATACTCTGTGTGCCAAAGTTTTTTTAAAATGAACATATTTATTTTATAAAGTAATATGTTCATTTTAAATTGTCTTGGCACATCTTGCTAGGTGTGTCAAGGCACACGGTAGTAGCACTGAATTAATAGTACCGAGGAGTTTTTGTTTTAGTGATAGAGTGAAGAAAACTGATAAAAGGACCTTTTTGCTACTAATATAGAAACAGATGTATCATGTATGTATGTTTGTGTATTTATATAAACAAGTGCTCCAGCCGAGTTCGAACAAGTAAATGTAAATCGAGCTTGTTTATCAAACGATCTCAGCAAAGCAAGTGAACGTCTCATTGTTTAAAATGAAATATCGAGCGAAATTTTTTGCAAAAGAACAATTCATGTTTACAAAACGTTCGTTTAAAAATTTTAGACTTACTAAACAAATTGAGCACGAGTTTTCACAAGCTTAAACGAGTCGAGTACTTGGCCTTTATTAAACGAGTTGAGTCGAGCTGCCCCGTGTATTTAAATGAACACGAATTTGAACATGTGCTACTCGGTTTAGCTAGAAACCGTGTGTATTTATTTATTTACTGTTCAAATTTCATATTTTTTGGATTTTGTTTTCTATTTTTGTCACATTATTCGGTTTTATAACTTTTCTATATTTAGAAGTTCTCTTTCTATTGTGCTCCACTAATGATTCGATTCTGGGTCTTGGTTAGGTAGAGTGAGAACCTATAGATAGTTTTTTCTCACTTTATTTTTTTTCTCCACTAATAAACATGGACTTTTTATTTCCTGTTCAATAAAAATGTGGTGCACCTTTTGTAAATTCAGCAAAAGGAATCTATTAATATATAATAAGAATTAACATAATTCACTTTTAGAAACTCTTTCCAGCTAATTTTATTAATTACATGCTAAATTTAGAATGTTATGACAATTTGGGATTAGAAATTAATGAGCATCCATAATTTTAGGAATAAATTGATACAATCCGATTTTTATTCACTTTTCAAAATTTGGTTAGATATTGATCTATGAAATAAACTGATACATCCAGAATTTTAAGAATAAACTGATACAAACTCGATTTGCTAATATGTAGGCAAAATCTATGGAATAATATAATTCCAGCATGGACATGGCCGTGCATCTCCACTGCTTCCCGTTTGACCTCTTACACCTCAAAGGTATTTATCCTTCCACAAATTATATATATATATATATATTATTTATTTTATATTTTAGAATTTTTAATACAATGTTTAATTAAAAATCTAACATTCTACAAATTTATTAAGAAAAATACTATTTAATCATTTGTATTCTTATAACTACAAATGGTTAGTTTACCTTTTTTTCCAGATAAATTACATTAACTAATATTTTCATATGAATATTATTTTACATTATTTATATCTATATATATAATAAGAATGCAAATCAAATATAATAAGCATTTCTTGCCATTATGCACTAATTACATCCTAATTATAGTAGTTTTACACAATTCTTTAAAACAAACCTTGAAGCATCAGTTGCAATCAGTTTTAACTTCCCTCGACAACTGGATTTAATGTTTTAAGAAAATATACCATAATATTTGATTAACCACTAAATCCGATTGTTGGGAATCAATTCTATTTAAAAGCAATGTTATTATGGAATCAAATATTATGAAGTATCATTTTAAAATCAGTATAGTTATGAAATTAAATAATTTAACTACGATTCAATATTTTTAATTCAATCTATATCTCTTTTTAGACTTTTCAATTCATTTTAATATAACATAAATTTGTCGTAAAAATGAGAGTAGAACTTTACAATAATCATGGTATCAATATTAATAATATAAATGATAAATAAAAATTTAATTATTTAGACTGTACATTTTAGTATATACATATAAATAAATCGCATATTTGAACTTTATTTTTTTTTTATTTTTTTCATATATAGTTATACAATATATGCAACTTAACTACAAGTAAAAAATTTAGTAAAGATTTCATTTTAATCATGGTAACATGTTTTTAAAAATTGCCATAATATTCGATTCACTATTCTACTACGCATGTAAACAACTATTTTATTTATATTATCACGATTTTTATCATTTTGAATTATTTTTTATCAATTTAGTTATGAAATATTTTTTTTTCATTTAAATATTTATTTTTTAGTTAAAAATAGTGATTTAATGTCATCCGATTCATTTAGTTAGTTTTGAGCTACAAATAATAAAATATTGTTGTTATTTTTTTTCAACGTCATTATTTTTGTAAATATTGTTTTACAAAAGATACAATAAAAAATCCAAATATCTGTTAAAACATAACAAAAAGTAATTTTGGAATGAATATTGGAATGAATTTGGAATAAAAAACGAGAATGATTGAAAAAAAAAAGATAATCAAAATCCACACTTTAAGATAACACTTTTCTTATATTTTATATAAAATTAAGTTTTACCAGATAAATCATATCTTTAGTATTTATCACAATATTACATATTTACACTATAATTTTAATTTGTGGTGCTAACATAACGAAAATCAACAAAAAAAAAAAAAAAAAATAAAGTAAGAAAATGACTATGCAGTTCGCAATTACCAACTGGAGAGCAATCTTGGTAAATATCAGTATACGGTTGTCAAGTGCAAAGTAATTTTGCATGAAAAAATGACGATGTTTTTGATATTGTATGACTTTTTCATGACGAACATTTTACAATTACCTAACAAATACTCTATGTATTATAACTTATTGATTAATAATTTAATTATAAATTTTACCAAAATAAATACAGCCCGTGCGTCGCACGGGTTATGTACTAGTTGAAAATAAATAATTGAAGTTTTTGCATGTTAGCAATTATTTTCCAAGGTTTTTGATACACTTTTGAAAGGAAAAGAAAAATATGGTGAAATAATGAATAGAATTTAATCATAAAAAATAGAATTAGGTGGAATTATTCAAATAATGAAGCAAAAAAATTATAAAAATAAAAGAATTAGTTAGACTAAACATTAGGCGGTTCGATATTTCACACTCTGTATCGGCTAATTAAGCCCGCCTAACACAAGAACTACCCAATTAATTTATTTATGCTGAATAATTTCACCATTATCATTATTTTCAATAAACATTTTTCCATAACCTATTAGTTTTCTTTCATATTAACCAAATGTTGGAGTAAATTTCACAAATATAATTCCCCTTGCTTCTTTTTTTCCTTGCCATTTTATTAAAACAGCTGTGATATATGTAACATTATATTAGAACAACTAATAATATATGTTACACTAAAACTTGTCTGGATTAATAATCATTAACCTTAAAATGTACATTAGCCAAACATTAAACTATTGTTGGAGATAAAAGAGCAAACAAGGATCATGAAAAAAGAAGTGGCATTTTGCAAGTCAAAATCGGTCAAAGCTTTTATTGTGTCCTTCATTTTTTGATGAGGTCAACGGTCAACCTATTTACATGTCCCCGTTTTATGATTGAGTTTTGTCATGTAATCATCAAAGTTACTTGAGTTTGTCCCAAAATGTAATGAGACAGTATAGTGTCATAGTGAAAAAGGCACAAGGGGAAAAAGAATAATAAAAGCCTTAATTTATTGCAATTTTTAATCATTTTGAAATTCTTTTTGCATAGGGAATATTTTGAATGTTTATTCATTATTATGGAGTTTGAACACAGTGAAAAAAAACAAACAAAAAAAAAAAAAAACCATCGAATTCGAACGATAATGTATTTTAATGAAAGTTTAACGAAAATGAATATTTTAATACTATGATGTTTGTTGAAAATATCAACAACAATTCAAACGAAAATGTTTGGTTGAAGTTGAAGAAATTATGTTGGATTTTGAAGATTTCAACAATTATTTTTTAATGATTAAATTATTAATGAAAAAAAAAAATTCAACGAAATTTATATTTAACCAAACATTTCTATAATAATCTGTAGGAAAAGTTATACTTAATTTTTATGTTAGAAATTGGATATTTATTTTTACAGTGGAATAAGTATCTATTCCCTATGATATACTCTAATTAAGTTGACTAGCTATATTAATCTTATTAAAATTTTGTCAACAGTTAGATAACACTTTCTGCTACACATATTACACGAGTGTTGTAAAATATAAAATTGCGTAGTACTTAAAATATAATTAATGGCAAGTCCATCAATCGCATCTTGAGTGATAAAATTAATCAGGCGCATATCATATCATATCATATCATCATAGTGTAAAATAAAACCATAGAACAAGAAACATGCATCGTGTTCGTGTCAGCCCAATTAAA